AAATCACTGAGGCATTAGAAGAAAAACAGACTACAGATGCGGTATACACGGACTTTGTAAAGGCATTTGATATATGTGAGCATTGAGTGATAGCACACAAAATGGGGTTAGTAGGAATAACAGGTAAAGTAGGACGGTGGATATTCATAAATTTTCTGTCAAAGCGAACGCTTAGAGTAACAATCAACGAAATAAAACTTTTAACTGTCCAAGCACAGTTAAAAGCAGTGTACCTCAGGGTACAACTATTGCACCACTGCTTTTCCTTGTTCTCATATCAGATATAGACAAAAATACAAGTCACAGCTTCGTATCAAATTTTGCAGATGACACACGAATCAACATGAAAATTACGTATGTTGAAGACATTGAAAAACTACGAGCAGATATTAGTAAAGTTTTCGACTGGGCAGCAGAAAATAACATGATGTTTAACAGTGATCAATTCCAGGTACGCAGGTACGGTAAATATGAGGACATTAAACATAATACAGAGTACAAAACACAATCAGATTTGCCCATAGAAGGAAAACAGCATGTAAAGGATTTGGGAATAATGATGTCCGACGACCTAACGCTTAGGGAGCATAACCAAGCAAATATTGCATCAAGCAGATAAATGATAGGATTGATTACGAGAACTTTCAAATCTAGGGCTTCCCTCACAATACTTGTACTATTCAAATAACTTGTGCTGTCCTGTCTTGAGTACTGATTAGTACTCACTTTCCCCTTCAGAGCAGGAGAGATTGCTGAAAAAGTGGGAATACAGAGAACATATGCGGCATACATAGACGCAATATAGAACATAATTATTGGGATCGTCTCAAAGATCTCCAAATGAACTCGCTAGAAAGAAGATGAGAGAGACATCAAATAACGTACACGTGGAAAATACTGGAAGGCCAGGTCCCAAATCTACACAGTAAAATAACAACGTACTGAAGTTAACGATATGGAAGAACATGCCGAATAGAGTCAGTGAAGAGCAGAGGTGCCATAGGCACAATCAGAGAACACTGTATAAACATCAAAGGTCCGCGGTTGTTCAACATCCTACCAGCAAGTATAAGAAATATTGCCGGAACAACCGTGGACATTTTCAAGAGAAAACTAGATAGTTTTCTTCAAGAAGAGTCGGACCAACCAGGCTGTGGTGGGTATGTGGGCCTGCGGGCCGCTCCAAGCAACAGCCTGGTGGACCAAACTCTCACCAGTCAAGCCTGGCCTCAGGCCGGGCTTGGGGAGTAGAAGAACTCCCAGAACCCCATCAAACTGGTAAATAATTTATGTAATTCATCAAAACCCTGTGACAAATGTGTCGAACCAGATGGACTCTGATGAGTCGTGGCCACATGGTGAGTCGTGGCCACATGGTGAGTCGTGGCCACATGGTGAGTCGTGGCCACATGACGAGTGGTGACCACATGATGAGTGATGGTCACATGACGAGTGGTGACCACATGACGAGTGGTGGCCTCATGACGAGTGATGGCCACATGGTGAGTCGTGGCCACATGACGAGTGGTGACCACATGACGAGTGATGGCAACATAACGAGTGGTAGCCACATGGTGAGTGATGGTCACATGACGAGTGGTGACCACATGACGAGTGGTGGCCTCATGACGAGTGATGGCAACATAACGAGTGGTGGCCACATGGTGAGTGATGGCAACATGACGAGTGGTGCCCACATGATGAGTGATACCTGGTTGATGGGGTTCTGGGAGTTCTTCTACTCCCCAAGCCCGGCCCGAGGCCAGGCTCGACTTGTGAGAGTTTGGTCCACCAGGCTGTTGCTTGGAGCGGCCCGCAGGGCCACGTACCCACCACAGCCCGGCTGATCCGGAACTTCTCTTAGAAAACCGTCCAGTTTTCTCTTGAAGATGTCCACGGTTGTTCCAGCAATATTTCTTATAGTCGCTGGGAGGACGTTGAACAACCGTGGACCTCTGATGTTTATACAGTGCTCTCTGATTGTGCCTATGGCACCCCTGCTCTTCACTGGTTCAATCTTGCATTTTCTTCCATATCGTTCACTCCAGTACGTTGTTATTTTACTGTGTAGATTTGGGACCTGACCCTCCAGTATTTTCCATGTGTATATTATTTGGTATCTCTCTCGTCTCCTTGCTAGAGAGTACATTTGGAGAACTTTGAGACGATCCCAATAATTTAGGTGTTTTATCTCGTCTATGCGTGCCGTATATGTTCTCTGTATTCCCTCAATTTCAGCAATCTCTCCTGCTCTGAAGGGAGAAGTGAGTACTGAGCAGTACTCGAGACGGGACAACACAAGTGACTTGAAGAGTACAACCATTGTGATGGGATCCCTGGATCTGAAAGTTCTCGTAATCCATCCGATCATTTTTCTGGCTGAATCGATATTTGCTTGGTTATGCTCCCTAAACGTTAGATCGTCGGACATCATTATTCCCAAATCCTTGACATGCTGTTTTTCTACTATGGGAATATTCGATTGTGTTTTGTACCCTGTATTATGTTTCAGATCCTCATTTTTTGCCGTACCTGAGTACCTGAAATTTATCACTGTTAAACGTCATGTTATTTTCTGCTGCCCAATCGAAAACTATGTTGACATCTGCTTGTAGTTTTTCAATGTCTTCAACAGAGGTAATTTTCATGCTGATTTTTGTGTCATCTGCAAAGGACGACACGAAGCTGTGACGTGTATTTTTGTCTATATCAGATATGAGAATAAGGAACAGTAGCGGTGCAAGGACTGTACCTTGAGGTACAGAACTTTTAACATCGCTTGGATTCGATTTTATCTGATTGACTATTACTCTTTGTGTTCTGTTCGACAGGAAATTGAGTATCCAGCGTCCTACTTTTCCAGTTATTCCCATTGACCTCATTTTGTGAGCTATCACTCCATGGTCACATTTGTCGAACGCCTTTGTAAAGTCTGTGTATACAACATCTGCATTTTGCTTTTCTTCTAGAGCTTATGTGATTTTGTCAGTGGTTGAGTAACTGTGACAGACAGGATCTTCCCGCTCTAAATCCATGTTGTCCTGGATTGTGCAATTCATTGTTTTCCATAAAACTAGAAATTTGATTCCCAATCACTCTTTCAAACACTTTTATTATGTGTGATGTTAGTGCAACTGGCCTATAATTTTTTGCCAAGGCTTTACTCCCCCCCCCTCTTGTGCAACGGAGCTATATCTGCAGATTTAAGTGCTGCTGGTATCTCCCCTGTATCCAGGCTCTTTCTCCATATTACGCTGAGTGCTCTCGCTACTGGTACTTTACATTTCTTTATGAATATTGAATTCCATGACTCAGACCCAGGAGCTGAGTGCATAGGCATATTGTCAATTTCTCTTTCAAAGTCTTCCGAGTTTGTGGTAATATCCGTTATATTATCTGCAGCTTGAATGTCATTCATAAAGAAGCTGTCTGGGTCATCAACTTTCATGTTGTTTATTGGTGTGCTAAACATAGCCTCATACTGGCTTCTTAGAATTTCACTAATCTCTTTGTTGTCCTCTGTGTACGTACCTTCACTTGTAATTAACGGTCCAATACTGGTCGAGGTTTTGGATTTTGATTTTGCGTATGTGAAAAAATATTTCGGATTTTTCCTTATCTCTTGTATAGCTTTCTGTTCCAATTCCATTTCCTCAGACTCATATGATCGCTTCAACGTTTGTTCTATTTCTTCGATCTCCCTGCTTAGGCTTGTTTTCCTTGCTTGTGATAGTTGTGTCTGCCGAAGCATTTCCGTTATTTTTTTCCTTCTCCTGTACAGTCGTTTGGGTTCTCTTTCTAGAGTGGTCCTCTTTCTGCCCCTCCTCACAGGCACGTGCTTCAAGCAGACCTTGTAAGCTTCAGCTGTCAGTTGAGCTATTCCCTGTGTGGGAGTTTTGTCGCTTAAGACCGTCTCCCATTGAATGGTTGCAAGGTCTACATTTATTTTTTCCCAGTCAATCCTCTTATTGTTGAAATTGAATTGATTGAATATTCCTTCTCGCTTGTTGGGTCTCTTAGACCTACTACCGTTATTTATGCTAGTTCGCACTTCAATGAGCTTATGGTCTGAGTATGAAGTATCTGAGATTGTGATGTCTCTGATTAGTTCATCATTGTTTGTGAATAACAAGTCTAGTGTGTTTTCGTTCCTACTTGGTTCTGTAATCTGTTGATTGAGCGAGAATTTGTCACAGAATCTCAAAAGTTCTCTGACCTGTGGTTGGTTATTTCCCGGGTCATTCCCTGCTATGATATTTGTGTTTGCCGTTCTCCATCTTAGACTCGGTAAATTGAAATCTCCATGGAAGATAATATCTGGAGCTGGGTTTGCTAGGTTGTCAAGTATGTTCTCTATTTTGTGCATCTGCTCTGTGAATTCCTCAACCGTTGTATCTGGCGGTTTATATAATAAAATTATAATTAGGTTTAGTTTCTCTACCTTAATTCCAAGTAACTCTACCACCTCATTAGTTGAGTTTAGTAATTCTATGCATACCAGGTCTTCTTTAATATACAGACCTAATCCTCCATTTGACCTAGTTTTTCTATCACATCTATATAAATTATAATTTGGAATCCAGATTTCACCATCCATGTAATCTTTTGTATGAGTTTCCGTGAATGCCCCAAATATTGAGTTTGACTCTAATAGAAGGCCATTTATGAACTTAACTTTATTTCTTGACTTTGGCTTTAAACCTTGAATGTTTGCAAATATGAATGATTGTCCATATTGTGTGTAACTTCTGGAAGGTTTTGGTAGTTCTCCCTCCTCTCTACCCTGACCCAGGGTGTTGTTGTGGCAATGGTTTGTCCAGTTTTGGAAGTGATACTGGGGAGTGTGGTAGTCTCTGTGTAGTTGGGGGGTGTAGTATGTGTGGGCTTGATGACGAACCGGAGTCCAGTCTTGGGCATTTCCCCTTCTCCATCCGTACCCCTGCCACGTTTCTGTCTGTTTCTCCCTCTGTTTGTATCTGCCTCTAGGTGGTGGTGGCCACATGACGAGTGAAGGCCACATGACGAGTGGTGGCCACATGACTAGTGGTGGCCACATGACTAGTGGTGGCCACATGGTGTGTGGTGGCCACATGACTAGTAGTGGCCACATGGTGTGTGGTGGCCACATGACGAGTGGTGGCCACATGACGAGTGGTGGCCACATGGTGTGTGGTGGCCACATGACGAGTGGTGGCCACATGGTGTGTGGTGGCCACATGACGAGTGGTGGCCACATGGTGTGTGGTGGCCACATGACGAGTGGTGGCCACATGACTAGTGGTGGCCACATGACGAGTGGTGGCCACATGACGAGTGATGGCCACATGACGAGTGGTGGCCACATGACGAGTGGTGGCCACATGACGAGTGGTGGCCACATGACGAGTGGTGGCCACATGACGAGTGATGGCCACATGACGAGTGGTGGCCACATGACGAGTGATGGCCACATGACGAGTGATGGCCACATGACGAGTGGTGGCCACATGACGAGTGGTGGCCACATGACGAGTGATGGCCACATGACGAGTGGTGGCCACATGACGAGTGGTGGCCACATGACGAGTGGTGGCCACATGACGAGTGGTGGCCACATGACGAGTGGTGGCTACATGACGAGTGGTGGCCACATGACGAGTGGTGGCCACATGGTGTGTGGTGGCCACATGACGAGTGGTGGCCACACGAAGAGTGGTGGCCACATGACGAGTGGTGGCCACATGGTGTGTGGTGGCCACATGGTGTGTGGTGGCCACATGACGAGTGGTGACCACATGATGAGTGGTGGCCACATGACGAGTGGTGGCCACATGACGAGTGGTGGCCACATGACGAGTGGTAGCCACACGACGAGTGGTGGCCACACGACGAGTGGTAGCCACACGACGAGGGGTGGCCACACGACGAGTGGTAGCCACACGACGAGTGGTAGCCACACGACGAGTGGTGGCCACACGACGAGTGGTAGCCACACGACGAGTGGTAGCCACACGACGAGTGGTAGCCACATGACGAGTGAAGGCCACATGACGAGTGAAGGCCACATGACGAGTGAAGGCCACATGACGAGTGAAGGCCACATGACGAGTGGTGGCCACACGACGAGTGGTGGCCACACGACGAGTGGTGGCCACACGACGAGTGGTGGCCACACGACGAGTGGTGGCCACACGACGAGTGGTGGCCACACGACGAGTGGTGGCCACACGACGAGTGGTAGCCACACGACGAGTGGTAGCCACACGACGATTGGTAGCCACACGACGAGTGGTAGCCACACGACGAGTGGTGGCCACACGACGAGTGGTAGCCACACGACGAGTGGTAGCCACACGACGAGTGGTAGCCACACGACGAGTGGTGGCCACACGACGAGTGGTAGCCACACGACGAGTGGTGGCCACATGACGAGTGGTAGCCACATGACGAGTGATGGCCACATGACGAGTGAAGGCCACATGACGAGTGAAGGCCACATGACGAGTGAAGGCCACATGACGAGTGATGGCCACATGACGAGTGGTGGCCACACGACGAGTGATGGCGTCACAACTACCAACTCGTATAACTACCACCAAGTGGAACAGAAACACTAAAGATTTCATCAAAGTACAAAACAAATACAACATTTAACAATATATTTTATATCCAGCCTGGCCGGAAGCCTCACCACTGAACAAACTGTACCAGATGTACATATTGTACACAAAACACGCACAAATCAATTAAAAAATCAAGCAGCAATGGAACAATTATTATTATTAACATCTTTATTGACAAAATTAATTATGGAACAATATCATAACTCACCGGCCGAGGGCTACACATCATGATGATTGGTGGTAAAATACTAACCCTTTTGTTTTGAAGTAAGAAACTGTCAAGATTTTCCGGTCTACAATGGACAGACACCTCAAGTCACCTGTAATGTATTGGATAATATGTTTGAGCAACACACACACACACACACACAGCCCATCAGACGAGAGCTGTAGCCACTCAGGAAATTCATTACCGTCGCCAACTACTACTTGTCTGCTCCCTCCTTATGACGGAGTGAGTAATAAAACTGATTTATGTTCAGTTATTTCCAGTACTCTTTTTTTCTTCATTGTAAAGCCTTTTGTTTTAGAAATATTGAATTAGAAGAGGAGAGATAGAGAGAGAAGAGGAGAGAGAGGGGGAGAGAGAGAGAGAGGGGAGAGAGAGAGAGAGAGGGAGAGAGAGAGAGAGAGGGGAGAGAGAGAGAGAGAGAGAGAGAGAGAGAGAGAGAGAGAGAGAGGAGAGAGAGAGAGAGAGAGAGAGAGAGAGAGAGAGAGGAGAGAGAGAGAGAGAGAGAGGAGAGAGAGAGAGAGAGAGAGAGAGAGAGAGAGAGAGGGAGAGAGAGAGAGAGAGAGGAGAGAGAGAGAGAGAGAGAGAGAGAGAGAGAGGGGGAGAGAGAGAGAGAGAGAGAGAGAGTTGAGAGAGATACGTCACCATCCCAGCTTCCGACGTTACCTCAACGGGAGAGATGAATGCAGTCCTGTTCATGTGAATTCCAAAGTTACACATTTACGGACGCATTGCAACTTTGCTGACGAAGGTACCGCAACATGTATTGCATGTGTGGCGATGAGGGACTTGCAGGATTTATTGCAAGCGTCGTGTCATTGATATTGCAAGTGTAGTGACGCTGGGTTGTGGGGGGGGGGGAGATAAGAGATAAGGGAAGGAGGAGGTGGAAGATAGGATGGAATATAAATAGTGTATAGGCGTTTACAGTGAAGACAATGAGTACTGAAGATAGTTGGAGACAGAGGGGGGCCTGAGGGAGTGTGTGGGCAGTGTGGGGGAGACCTGGGCACCGCCGGGTACTACAATAAGTTTCTTATGTTATAAATATATATGAGATCGAGTTGTCTCAATTTATTGACCTGTAGTGTGCCAGGCATGGTGATTATTGACCTGTAGTGTGACACGCATGGTGATTATTGACCTGTAGTGTGCCAGGCATGGTGATTATTGACCTGTAGTGTGACACGCATGATGATTATTGACCTGTAGTGTGACAGGCATGGTGATTATTGACCTGTAGTGTGACAGGCTTGGTGATTATTGACCTGTAGTGTGACAGGCTTGGTGATTATTGACCTGTAGTGTGACAGGCATGGTGATTATTGACCTGTAATGTGACAGGCATGGTGATTATTGACCTGTAGTGTGACAGGCATGGTGATTATTGACCTGTAGTGTACCAGGCATGGTGGTTATTGACCTGTAGTGTGACACGCATGGTGATTATTGACCTGTAGTGTGACACGCATGGTGATTATTGACCTGTAATGTGATAGGCATGGTGATTATTGACCTGTAGTGTGACACGCATGGTGATTATTGACCTGTAGTGTGATAGGCATGGTGATTATTGACCTGTAATGTGACAGGCATGGTGATTATTGTCCAGTAATGTGATAGGCATGGTGACTATTGACCTGTAATGTGACAGGCATGGTGATTATTGACCTGTAGTGTGACACGCATGGTGATTATTGACCTGTAGTGTGCCAGGCATGGTGATTATTGACCTGTAATGTGACAGGCATGGTGATTATTGACCTGTAATGTGACAGGCATGGTGATTATTGACCTGTAGTGTGACAGGCGTGGTGGTTATTGACCTGTAGTGTACCAGGCATGGTGATTATTGACCTGTAATGTGACAGGAATGGTGATTATTGACCTGTAATGTGACAGGCATGGTGATTATTGACCTGTAGTGTACCAGGCATGGTGGTTATTGACCTGTAGTGTACCAGGCATGGTGATTATTGACCTGTAATGTGACAGGCGTGGTGGTTATTGACCTGTAGTGTACCAGGCATGGTGATTATTGACCTGTAGTGTGACAGGCATGATGATTATTGACCTGTAGTGTGACAGGCATGGTGATTATTGACCTGTAGTGTGCCAGGCATGATGATTATTGACCTGTAGTGTGACAGGCATGGTGATTATTGACCTGTAGTGTGCCAGGCATGGTGATTATTGACCTGTAGTGTGATAGGCATGGTGATTATTGACCTGTAGTGTGCCAGGCATGATGATTATTGACCTGTAGTGTGACAGGCATGGTGATTATTGACCTGTAGTGTGACAGGCATGGTGATTATTGACCTGTAGTGTGCCAGGCATGGTGATTATTGACCTGTAGTGTGCCAGGCATGGTGATTATTGACCTGTAGTGTGACAGGCATCGTGATTATTGACCTGTAGTGTGCCAGGCATGATGATTATTGACCTGTAGTGTGACAGGCGTGGTGATTATTGACCTGTAGTGTGCCAGACGTGGTGATTATTGACCTGTAGTGTGACAGGCATGATGATTATTGACCTGTAGTGTGACAGGCATGGTGATTATTGACCTGTAGTGTTCCAGGCGTGGTGATTATTGACCTGTAGTGTGCCAGGCATGATGATTATTGACCTGTAGTGTGACAGGCATGGTGATTATTGGCCTGTAGTGTGCCAGGCGTGGTGATTATTGACCTGTAGTGTGACAGGCATGGTGATTATTGACCTGTAGTGTGACAGGCATGATGATTATTGACCTGTAGTGTGACAGGCATGGTGATTATTGACCTGTAGTGTGACAGGCATGGTGATTATTGACCTGTAGTGTGACAGGCGTGGTGGTTATTGACCTGTAGTGTACCAGGCATGGTGATTATTGACCTGTAGTGTGACAGGCATGGTGGTTATTGACCTGTAATGTGACAGGCATGGTGATTATTGACCTGTAGTGTGACAGGCATGGTGATTATTGACCTGTAGAGTGACAGACATGGTGATTATTGACCTGTAATGTGACAGGCATGGTGATTATTGACCTGTAGTGTGACAGGCATGGTGATTATTGACCTGTAGTGTGACAGGCATGGTGATTATTGACCTGTAATGTGACAGGCATGGTGATTATTGACCTGTAGTGTGACAGGCATGGTGATTATTGACCTGTAGTGTGACAGGCATGGTGGTTATTGACCTGTAATGTGACAGGCATGGTGATTATTGACCTGTAGTGTGACAGGCATGGTGATTATTGACCTGTAGAGTGACAGACATGGTGATTATTGACCTGTAATGTGACAGGCATGGTGATTATTGACCTGTAGTGTGACAGGCATGGTGATTATTGACCTGTAGTGTGACAGGCATGGTGATTATTGACCTGTAATGTGACAGGCATGGTGATTATTGACCTGTAGTGTGACAGGCATGGTGATTATTGACCTGTAGTGTGACAGGCATGGTGATTATTGACCTGTAGTGTACCAGACATGGTGATTATTGACCTGTAGTGTGACAGGCATGGTGATTATTGACCTGTAGTGTACCAGGCATGGTGGTTATTGACCTGTAGTGTGACAGGCATGGTGATTATTGACCTGTAGTGTACCAGGCATGGTGATTATTGACCTGTAGTGTGCCAGGCATGGTGGTTATTGACCTGTAGTGTGACACGCATGGTGATTATTGACCTGTAGTGTGACACGCATGGTGATTATTGACCTGTAATGTGATAGGCATGGTGATTATTGACCTGTAGTGTGACACGCATGGTGATTATTGACCTGTAGTGAGATAGGCATGGTGATTATTGACCTGTAATGTGACAGGCATGGTGATTATTGTCCTGTAATGTGATAGGCATGGTGACTATTGACCTGTAGTGTGACAGGCATGGTGATTATTGACCTGTAGTGTGACACGCATGGTGATTATTGACCTGTAGTGTGCCAGGCATGGTGATTATTGACCTGTAATGTGACAGGCATGGTGATTATTGACCTGTAATGTGACAGGCATGGTGATTATTGACCTGTAGTGTGACAGGCGCGGTGGTTATTGACCTGTAGTGTAGCAGGCATGGTGATTATTGACCTGTAATGTGACAGGAATGGTGATTATTGACCTGTAATGTGACAGGCATGGTGATTATTGACCTGTAGTGTACCAGGCATGGTGGTTATTGACCTGTAGTGTACCAGGCATGGTGATTATTGACCTGTAATGTGACAGGCGTGGTGGTTATTGACCTGTAGTGTACCAGGCATGGTGATTATTGACCTGTAGTGTGACAGGCATGATGATTATTGACCTGTAGTGTGACAGGCATGGTGATTATTGACCTGTAGTGTGCCAGGCATGATGATTATTGACCTGTAGTGTGACAGGCATGGTGATTATTGACCTGTAGTGTGCCAGGCATGGTGATTATTGACCTGTAGTGTGATAGGCATGGTGATTATTGACCTGTAGTGTGACATGCATGGTGATTATTGACCTGTAGTGTGACAGGCATGGTGATTATTGACCTGTACTGTGACAGGCATGGTGATTATTGACCTGTAGTGTGCCAAGCATGGTGATTATTGACCTGTAGTGTGCCAGGCATGGTGGTTATTGACCTGTAGTGTGACAGGCATGGTGATTATTGACCTGTAGTGTGCCAGGCATGGTGATTATTGACCTGTAGTGTGCCAGGCATGGTGATTATTGACCTGTAGTGTGACAGGCATCGTGATTATTGACCTGTAGTGTGCCAGGCATGATGATT